AAAGTGTTACCTTTGGTAAAACTGCACAGTACTCATAACCAAAATACAGGGGGAAAAAAGGCCAGAACCCCTGGAACAGTGAAGGTTCTGCCATCAGCAGCCCTGCATAAGCACTTTAAGAACTAATCTACCCACACAAATACTCAAATTATGTCTTTTCACTGGGAAAGAGAGATCCATGAAAACAGAAGACATATCCATGGGCAATAGATCCATGGGAGCTCTCACTTTCCCATTTGCTATTTTAAAGGACCTTCAGAGAAGGAAAATTCATAGCACTGGCTCTTGGATGTACACTGCCCTTTAAGGTTGGTGTAGGTCTTCAGTCTCTAAGAAGAAAATCTGCATCTCTACAAGACACCAGGATGGCAGACAGTGCATTAATCAGAAGTTGTATCAAATAATTAATTGCAGGAAGAAGTATTTCCTAGAAGAAAACGGAAGAATGAGCTCATTCATGGTGAATGAGCAAATATTTTTATTCGCAAGAAGGAACATCAAAATTCTTGCCATTTTAATCAATGGTTTCAAAAAAAAAAAGCAAAAAAACAAACACAGCCACTTTTGTTTTAAGTAGCTCTGTAGTGTAAAAACTCTGAACTACCTGGGCTAGGAGGTGCTGACATTTTTCTTTACTAGAATCTTTATATAGTTCAATATCTTAATAGCGTGTGACCAGAGCTAGGGAAGAGATTGACAGCCAGTCAATGAACTGATGAATATCTATCTCATAAGCATTTCATTTAGCTACCCATGCAGTGTGCATTTTGCCTTTATACACACATTCCAATGCCATTATCTGACACATAATTACCTGGGTCTCAAAGCGCTTTACAAAGGAACACGCTGTCATTATCAACACTTCATGGACAAAGAAATCGAGGCATAGTGGGATAATTTGCTAAAAGTTACTGCACTAATATCCAAGGTCAGTAGCAGGTGAAAAAGAAAGCTCTTATCAGGCAAGCACTGCACTCAGCAGACCACACTGCCCTCGAGATGTGGGCTTGGGAAGCTTTTCCTACAATCCCCAGTAATCTACATCAGGCACTGTAAAAGCATTTAAAATTCCACCTGTGTTACAGCAAACATTACAGTGTAAAATTTAAATCTATTGACACTTGATCTGTTAAACACTGGAATATTTTGTTCAGCTTTCTTCAAATGATTAAGCTAAGATGACAAACATCATGTCACCGTAAGATGACTCTCCTGACAAGTCTGCCCCGGACATTCCTCACCTATTTTTAAACATCTTCTGATAACATCCATCATGTCAGAGAGTTGTAGTTATTCTTTCCTAATTATGGGAGCCTCATGCAAAACCTTTGTTGCAGTCATGAAATTACAAACCCTGTAGTTTTTTCAGTTCTCACTCTGTCTTTTACTCTAAGTATTAAAACCATCAGGAGACACTTGGTAAAACCAGCAACAACTTGAGGTTTTGATGACAAAACGTTTAAAGAGCCAAAACTAACCCCTCATTTTTCACTAAGCAATTTTATGTACGCAAAGAGTAAATAAATAATACTGGTTTGTAGAATTTGGGATGTTTTCACTAGCTGCATGTCCAAGTGCAAGTCCCAGGGTTGAATTAAACAAGCTAAATGAAATTAATTTACTTCCATGTCCAGCTCAGGTGGCCAGCAGGCCTTGAACAAGATTACCAGGACAACTAGTGAATAACAATGACACCAGCACTGCAGCAGACTTTATTCTCCATGCTGGGTTTTACCTTCTCATTTTGTTACAAGTCTTCTCTCCCTTTCTCTGGGAGAAGTGGGGATCACAACTTCCAAACAAGTTAAAAAAAAAAAATAGAAAGAAATCCAGCTTGCAAGTTCACATTGTAATTGATATAAGTCTATTATTACAAGATGAATTGCAGCAGACAATGCCAGAGACAGCTCAATCTGTTACCGAATCCCTGTAATGGCTGGATGAAGAACTCGACCATTTCACTCATAAATCTTTCTTCTGAGTTTTTATTTGCTGCCTGTGTGTGTGAAATAATAAAACTGTGGAGTGACGTGTACAAGAGATGCAGTAACATATTTCTAAACACAATTACAGTAAGTTTGTTACAGGAACCCTGACCCTTTCAGCATCTAATCAGGAATGTGTCGTGTTCCAGGCTGCAAAAAACACCACAGGATATCTTTGAAAAGTCATTAGCTGAGATCATGCCTATTGTGAATAATCATCTCTGCTCAGATTGAAGTGAGGCACTGGGCTGTCATAAGTCATTCTGGATGATCCATCACAAACTTTCTGTAGGACAGCCCAGAACAAATCTTCATTTCCAGGACACTGATCTACTTCCTAACTTAATGGCAAGCAAATTTTGCCAGCAGGAAAAGCAAGATTAGAAGGTTCTTGAGATGTATGTTCCCATTTACTTTTTAGAGTAACTGAATTTAATATTATTTTTATAATAATTCCTTGTCTATTGTCTGCAGATCATAGCACCCAGCAAGGAGATCATGAGAGTTACTGCAAAAGCAGAACTTTAAAATTAACTGTCACCACTGATGACAGAAACAGAAAGAAGATAAGCAAAAGGGTTGTAGAGGGGGAGATATAAATGGGATACATGCAGCAATTTTGCTCCAGTGAGTGCAGGTGCAGCTATGAAATGCCCATGATTCCTCCTCTGTCAGGAGATTGACAGGAGGCCACAAAACCAAAAGTGACAGAAACCAAGATTACAACCAAGAACGTCCAAGGGGCAGATTTCTGCCGGCAGTTTATGGTCTCATATCCAGTTAGAGCCTCCCTTCCCCTGTGTAAAAGCCCTTGAAACAGCTTCCTGAGCACTCCTGCCAAAGAGGCAGCTGAGGGACAGAGTCTCGAGGTACAAGGTCAGGGGCCTCTGCACCAAGAGTCCCCACTGACAGCCTCACATCTCATAGTACCAGCTTTTCCACTACTGTTTTATAGCACATGCTCCAAAAAACAATCTGTGGTTTTCCTGGAACTCATCTGTTCCACAGAATCCTCAAAGTAAAAGATGCTGGTAGGAGAGATCCCTTTTCCTTTAGTTCAAGTGCTGGAAGGAAAACAGTCAATTTTACAGTAAGGCTGCACAGGCAAGTAGGCAAGGCAGGGTCTAGACTTAATGATCATTTAAACCCACAGTGCATTATCATTAAGTAATGCAGATGCATTAAATCCAAGCTACTTTCACAGCAATATTCCAACATCAGCCAGAAAAACTAGAGGCTGTAGCTGCTAGTCCCACAGTACATTTCTTATCCAGTTTTGCTTGCACAAACATGATACAAACCTCACAAGCATCTGACTGGAGATGCCTGCAATGGTTAAGAGGCCTTACACTCTAAATTACCTTGCTTTTGTTAGGCAGGTGAATGGTCCATAACATTCTTCCTGAAAGGAGGTTTTTTTTCCTTCAGAATTTAATTTATAAACTTACTCCTGCCAGGCTGCGATAGCAGCTGCTGTACAAACCTGAAAATGATGACGACTGGAATTCCATTCAGACCTCAGGAATCAATAGAGAGCAGACAAAACGACCAAGATAAAAAGTTCCACCCAACTGCAAAGAGCAAGAACTGCAGGATACCTCTCATTGTTTTACAGTGTCTGAAGTCACCAACCTGTGAAATAGAGACTGAACAATCTCAGTTCAGTCTGAAAACCTGACCTGTGCTGTCCACAGGCTGCACCCACATAATCTGCCCATTGGGAATGCCTTAGTGCTGTAGGTATTTCCAAGCAAAACAAGACTCAAAGGACAAGCAAGGACATTCACATTTTGCTAAAACTTATATTGCATCTGGTAAAAGCTTCTCAGAGAGCCTGATCTTTCTTACCTCGAAACAGCAGCTCTTCTGTAAGCTAAGAACAAAGCAACCTGCATTGGTGTCACTCTGATTCATATCAACTTATCCATATAAACTGGTGGTTTCTCTGGGCAGTAAAGAGATACACAATCACAGCTTAACTGAACTAACTCTGTCTGAAGGCAGCTGCTGGCAGTGTGGTCTCATGTCAGCAGAACATTCATTGTAAGCAGCTCTGCATTTTATTTATTGTTACATTCCTTCTCACTTATATTTCATGACAGACAAGCCAGGTGAGGACAGGAACATATTAGAATTTAAAAGGGAAGACCCAAAGTACTTAAAAATCTGCCTTTCTTTGAACAAAACAAAATGTGCTTCAGTTGAAAAGGAAATTATCATTTGCCTGATACAAAAGAAATCCTTTGTCCCAATCACAGCCTACTCTAAAAGACTTACTTTCTTCCTTCCCTTAAGAAGCCAAATGGATGCAGTTCTGTAATTTTGGAGAGCTTTACACAGTATGTTAAATTACAAGACAAGCATTGTGGGTTTGTAGATTGTGAGCCAGTGTATGAGACATAAAGGATTCTCACTGAGAGTGGGTGATAGTCTAAGTCATATAGAATTTAGTCCATCATATGCTAGAACAGTTAGTGAAATGAAAGATCGGTGAATAAATTACTCCAAGAATACTAGGAAATATTTGGTAGCGACCTGTAAAACCAGCCTTCCTACTTTCAGATGCACCAAAAGAAATCCCATGAGCAAGTACATTTGGTTCACTTGCTACATTCTTTACCCACTGCCCACCTCTTCTTACTCAGAATTTACTTTCACAAGTGTAAAAACAATGCTGAGAAATTTAGTAAGAGCACCACAAGGATGTGGAAGTTGAGAAACCGCTGAAAGATATTCCACTGGACCCCACTGCTGATATTCAATGATATAATCCTTTACAGACACTCGCTCATCTGATATCAATCAAATTAAATTTTCATTGTGCTTTGTTATAAATCAGTACCAAAAAAAAAAAAAGACAAGAAGAGAATGACCAAATAAACGCTCAGAAGTGCAGCAAAGGCATCTTTAATTTTAAGTCAACATTAAAAAAATATTCATGTTATAGCAATTGTTGTTGAATGTGCTTTTTCCCCAAACACCAGATGCATTTGAGACAATTTACATTTGACTCACCATACTGGCAGCGAGGACCCTGAAATCCTGCAGGACACTGGCACACCTGGGATCCTTCTTCAGAACATTTGCCTCCATTGAAACAAGTGCCAGCTGTGCAGAGCACTGGTGCACACAAACAGAATGAAACAGGGGATTTTAGTGGATTTTGTGCCAAGGATCCTCCAGAATTGCCATTGTCATAGTCCTGTTGAAACAACACCTTCCAAATAAGGAGAAACCCAGCTTTTTATCTAAGTGGAAAGGTTAGACTTCAGTAGAACTTGTTGTCATGGGTATAACTACCATGTTGATATGAAGAAGTTTAGTAAAAATAAGACTAAGATAATGCAGTTTAACTTGAAGATGCTTCAGAGGCAGTTTCTAAGGTCTCAAAGTACTGCCTGAATCAGAAATGAAAGAGCAGAGGAACTGCTCCACAACAAAGCAGCAATGGTTAAGACCCACTGGTGTACTAAAAAATATTCTACATGTTAAAGGGAATGACAATTCTTCCCTTCCTCCAACACAGAACAGTTTTTATTTACAATAACTTGAATTCCACAGACTTGAGCCAAAGTTGCAAAGAGTAGCAAATATAAAAGAGTAATTCAACCACTTCGGTGCCTTAAAGAATTCAAAACAAGTCTGCACTGCTCTTCCAGGAAGAAAATAATTTCATATTGCCACTGGTGCTCACGTACATTAAATTCCTTTACACCAGAGATTAACATACAGATTGTAAACATATCTTTGACTTCTTACAACTAAACAGGTGCACACTAAATATGTAGATTCAGGCTAAAACTAACAGGAACACCTCTCAGGCTTGTTTTAGTTTTTTAACTACAAAGACAATCATAAAAGCAAGATGTCTGAATGCAGCCCTCAAGTTGGTTTGAAGATTAAAAAAAATACATAAGAACAGATGCTAACTTTCATACAGAAAAAACAATTACTGACAAAACAGTAACAAAACTAAACACTGAGTAGGTTGCCATCTTCTACTGATGTCTTGTTAACAGTGGCTGAAGCGCTTCCTTATCATTTAAATTAAATTCAATCTTTTAGGAAAACATCCAATCATGCTTAGATAGAAAGAGGTTCTCATCAGATGGAGAACCACAGGGCAAAAACACAATTGCTCCAATGGCAACAACAGCAATGAAAAAGCCAAACCCAGGCAGGCTCTACAGTGAGTGCTACGTCCAAGAAACAAGTGCCTTACAGCAGATTTCTTTGCATAATTTGGGTAACAGCAATAAATTTGGCTGGCCTGTCAAAGCCAGACTGGCACAAAAATGCTACAACAACTATAATCAGAGTTTAGACTGTTAATCTAAACAGTCAGATTAAAATTAGAGCTATCTGGTACTTTTACATGACTGCTTTTGTATTTTAAAGGATGTTCCTTTCCCCATCACTAGATCACCTCTTTAGAACTGGAAATCCCAGTTATAGACAGCAAGAAAAAAAAAAGATCCATCTTTCCAGAAGCAGGCATCAATAGGAAGGCAAGGGCTAAGGGATGTCATCTCCCTTGGTTTGTCACAGTTTTGCCATCAACTTACAGTGCAAACAGCCCGGCTCGTTGTCACGCTGGACCCACCCAGGGCAGCACTTGTAGACAGTCTGGTGCTCCATCCTGTACACCTGCTTGTAAACTGTGTAGTACCCAGACCTTTGAGGAGAGGAAGTTTCAGAGAACAATCACAACTCCTATTCAACTTATTCACATCTCATCAGTAACTAACTCTACTCATCTGTCATATTTACTAGATATTTTTTTTTCAGCCTCTATCAGAAGCTCTTGTTAAAAATGAAGCAAATACAGCAAACTGCATCCTGATATCATCCAATAGCTCTTATATGTTATTATGTCCACGTATTTTTTTTGAAGAATTTGTATTCAGGGTAGTCAAAGGTAAGTAATTTTGTTTTGCAATCAATTTTGGGTTTAGCTGTTGGGGGAGTCAGATCTCCCATCAGTTCCAAGCATATGACAGAAACAGAAAGAAGTTTAATTTTTCAAAGTCAATGACTTGACAGCTGGACTTCACCTGAACAAGAATGAGACAGGAGCATTTTCTGATAACGTAAAATTGTGATCTAAAGCCAGCCAAGAAGTTCATGACCAATCCAAAACACATTAAAAAAGTCACATTTTCTACTCACTAATAACAGATTTTAAGTAAAGTCTCAGCAGGGCAGTATGTCCATAACCAAGTCACACATATTTCAGATGAAGTTTACAACTTTCTCACAAAGCAAAGGAACTTGCACAAAGGTTAGCAATGAAATCCATTTATAAGGATAGATAATATATTACCTTCTCTCATAGCTCACACACCATCTCCTCTTTGTACACCCTTGTTTCCACATCTTGACCATCCGACTAAAGGCTTGAACACAGGGCTCTTGGTGTCCCACCAGTGCCAACTCAAACACTGGGCACACATTTGGCCTTGAGGGAAAGAAAAGCACATACTTTATTATTTCCAGCATAAAATTCAGACATTTAGAGAAATAGACATAAAATTATTCTATTCATAACAGTTAATAACAGTTTGAAACAGAATTTATACAGCTGTTTAAAACTATTGCAGCTCTACACCTTAGGAAGCAGCACGTAAACATACACTGAAATTCAGGCTCCACACAAGTCACTGAAAGATTTACCACAGATTCAAGGGCAGATAAGATTTATCTAAACTATTGCTGGGGAAATTGTGTATTCTGTAAGAGCCCTCCCTTGCTATCAGTCCCCTCAGGGAAGCACATGAAATTCATAAGGGGAAGTATCCTTGTTCTCTGCTGATTATTCCTAAAATAACAAGACCAAAATAAAAGCGCTGCTTTGGAGGATGATATGTAATCTTCATCCTGCTACCTAGCCAGAGTTCAAAAATAGCAGGATTGCAGGAGCTATGGAGGGTCAAAAAAAAGGTTACATGTCGATGGTTTTGCAGAGATTGTCAGCCTTATCCCAATTCCTTTGTCCTGGTGTAAATGAGGAAATTCTCTATGACAGAAAACAACAGCAAACTTGCAGAGTCTAACTAAAACCACAGAAACTGAGGGGGTTTGTCATCTTTTGAGGCAGGAGCTTGCTGCAACAAAATGAAATTAATTTTTTTTGAGTAGTTTAGAGATTGTTAACACAATAATTTAATTACCCATTCCCCAAGACAGCCTGATGAGGTTTTTCAAACTTAAGCCTCAATAACTAAAACACAGAGGGGAACAGGCACCTTGTTTACCCACTCTGACAACAACAACATTCAGCAGACAAGTCTTTCCCCAAATTTCAGTCTGAGACCTCTCTTCAAGCTAAAGAGTGATCAAGTAACACACACACTGTCACACTTATTTCCTCTGTCAGTCGACACAGGTACAAACACGAGCCTGTGCTACAAAACCAGGGGGGGTTGCTCTAATAAGAGACAACAGTTCCAGCCCAACAGCTGCCTGGCAGTTAGTTCTCATCAGCTACACTGGATATTGTTAATATCTCATTCAAGATTTATGGTGCTTTTTATCTCGGAGGCTCCCTATTATGTCTGAACACCACACAAAGTAGCCTTGCTAATAATAGAGCACATCTTTCATCCACAGGTCTTCAAGTAGTTTACAAATATCATTAAATTAAGCCTGTGCAGAACAGGAAAATACTATAACCATGATCAATTTTACTGCTGAGCTGAATACATGGAAGAAACCCTGCTTAGATCAAATCCACTCCACAATATTCCCTGTACTCTACAGAGACCAGTGGTCCTGCCAAGCCCAGAGAATGGGAAATCCAGCCAGGTCTCCCAAAGGTACCACAGCTCCCAGGGAAATGCCTGGGATCTTACCTCGGGGGAAAGAAGTCCTTTGCCCAACAAGGACACTTCAGTAGAGAAACAAATGAGATTTAAAAACAGATTTTGAAGCCAACCACCCCCTCAGGAATTCAGGTAGCCAATGTAAAGGATGTCAGAAAAAAGTCCACAACTGTGTGTTCCAGTTGTCCCATCACACCATGGAAGGAGAGTAAAGAGTCCATTCGTACCAGAAAATCTGGTCTGACAGAAGTTAGTTTCCTGAACTAGAATGTTTCTTGCTCCCAAGCTTTAGAGAAACTGCTCATCTCCATCATATTGAACCACACTGCCAGTGGACATCCCCCCATGTTCTTCCTTCTCCAAAGCAGAGTCTAATTGCTATATTGCTCTGTATTTCCCATTCTTTGGGTCTGCCCTGCCTGCAGCTGCCAACACCCTGAAGGAGAATAGAAGACACTCACAGCACAGTTTCAGATTGCTGTAAGTTCCTCCAGAAACCAGCCTTCCTCCACATTCCCATGCCACTTCCATCACTAAGCAATCCTTCCCATGTGTTCCAGCCACCCCTTCCCTTTGGAATGACCTCCCCATTTAACAGATTCAGCTGAAGTTCAGAGCCATTGCTCCCAAGCCATTCTTAGCCCAAAGTCTGCCATTTGTTTCCCATCTGAAGAAGATCTTTGCGTACCCAAAATCTTGCCTGCCTTTTTTTTTTTGTTCCATTACGTCAGTTGGTCTAATAAAACCCTCTCCTTACTTAGCAACCATGTCTCACTTAGCAGGCTTTTTAAAATGACTCTCCCTCCAGTGAATAGAACATCATGTTCTGATAATTCATGCATATCTCCTTTTATTAGAATTGCCTAAAATTTCCCAGATAAAGGTACATTCATATGCATCACTTTTCCATAAATAAAAGGGAGAAGCTGACAATTGTTGTAATGACATATTGAGCCCATCCCATAAGTTCCTGCTCATGTGATATTGCCATGTTTCCAGGAATAGCTGTATTGACTTCTAGGATATGGTTAATAGGAACAAATGGCGCTCACAGAGCAAAACAGGCCAGCAGCAGAGTCATATATTTATTAAGATTTATTCAAAGTAAGCCATTCCTCCTAGATGCCCTTGGGATAATTTAAAGGCAGATATCAAAACCACTGAAACACTATAATTAAATTGCAGCAATTGCATAACATGTAATCCTCTGCTGGCAAAGCTGGGAATCAAACATGCCCTCTCCAACAATTCACCATCTTCACAGCTCCCCCCACAGAGCCAACACAACAGTTTTTAAGCCATCTGACTTATTTGATACCTTACCTATTAACTTAAGGACAGTGACTTGAACAAGGCCACAGCTATTGAAAGCTATTGAAAGCTTTTGTACTATGGGATTCTGCTAATAGAGGCCATCCAAGGCTAACCTGAAGCCTCAAGTGGATGTAATGGTGTATTTAGAGGAGAACAGCTCCATTTTTACTCCTGTGCCCTTTGCATTCAGAAAATACTTCTTAATGGGAGTTTAAGTGTTAAAACAAGCAAAACACTCAAATGCATATCATGGCCTATGATTTGATTGATACACCAGTCCCTTAAAACCTTTTTATCCTGATGCTCTCCGTTAGCCAAGGCTAACACGAAGGCTATTATTAGCTTGTCAGTCTGACTCAGGCGAGGCAGAAAGCTCTCTTAATATTTGCATTAGGAGACTGCCCTTTAAACAAAAGACACCCTACACACTTCCAGCTGAAGACTTGAGATTCTAATGAACAGATAATTAGACCAACATGAAGCAAGAGCAGCCTGGGCTAATCGTGTGGCTGTGGTGCCTGTGAACCACTGCACAACAGGAAAGTTCAGGGACAATTAAAAGCTTCTCCAGGCAGGATGTAAGTCATTCCTGTGTTTAGAATTTTAAAAAGAAAGGGAATAGCTCTACCATAGAACCACAGAAGGATTTGAGTTGGAAGGGACCTTAAAGATCACCTAGTTCCAGCTCCCCTGCCATGGGCAGGGACACCTTCCACTACACCAGGCTGCTCCAAACCCTGTCCAACCTGGTCTTGGACACTTCCTTTTCTTGTTTCTCGGTTACGAACATACATCATATCTCTGTGACAGGGATATTTTCATTTTCTGCCTAACATGAGCCTGACACCTGGCTCTTGGAATGACAATTAAATTAAATCTCTCATTCTACCAGCCTACTTTCTTCCAGCTCAATACAAGAAGCTAAAGTTAGGCAGATTTAACCGTAGTGAGAGAGCAAACACACATCAACATATCCCTAAAGGCTTCTTTCTACAGTGCAAACTTTAAATCAAAACCTTAATGAATAAGAAGCAAAGACTGATTTGTCTGTCTGATTTTAGGTCTTTCCATAGAGACTAAGTGAATGACACTACCTTCTACACTAAGTCAGATGGCTGTTAACATCTTCTTAAAAATGAGCTGTTGTAGCCTGTACTGCCTCAGCTGACAAATTTGCAGCCTGAACACTATTGATCTTCCCATAAAACAGTCAATAGATGAAACCTGTCATAAGAAGCAACTTGCTGGAATCCTGTATTTTCAAAACACTAATTGGTCAGTGCTTTTATGCCTTTATGCCGTTATTAAAAGTTTAGAAAAGCATAGTCTGCCTTTCCAGATTCAGTTTGACAACATCAAATAAGAACTCTCCTTAAGGAAACCAAGATTATAGTCAGGGCTAAATTCTCCACTGCTGTGATGACAAGTGTTTTTGCTCTAGAGACACACCGATGTTGATCAGAAAATAGTTGTACATTGCTACTATGGCTTTGGTTACAAACTTCTCAGGCCAGAAAATGGTCTGAATGCCCTCACAACTCCAACCACATGAGCAAAACATCCCCAGATCTCTAGAAAGGCGAGGTGACCCCGTGCAGACGTGTGGCACCATAGAGGGGAAACAGCCAGCAACATGATGTATGCAAACAAGATGTCAGTTGAAAGTTTTCTATATATATAATCTCAATTGGAAAGGAGAAAAAAGCAAATTTTATTTCAACACAAAAAGGAAAGTCAAATTCGGAAATAGACCACAGAAACAAAAGGTCCAAAGAACAAGTTACATATATTTATTTATATAGATAAATTTTGTCTCTAGATGTACATAGCAATATTAATTCAGAAAGCCTGGAATGACAGAAAAGGCTTTTCTTTTTTATACTGCCAAACTCCCCTTTCTACCCTTAATCTATTTTAAGGCTCATTTTCCCACATTTCCCTGATAAAATTCATCAGCACTACCAGAGACAATTAGGACATCCCTCTCTCTTGACCACTAATCAATCCCTGCTCTCTCCTGATCCTGTATCAATATTTGTGATGTTTATATGCCCTCTGGGATGGGGATTGTAAGCACCAAGCTCATTTAGATTAGGTCTCATTATCACTGCTGTTCTCTGGCTCTTTGGATGAAGGTGCACCACAGAAGACTCTCCCCAGCCCACAGGTGACTAATGCACTGCTGTGTCTTACTCACATCCCCCTTGATTAGAGGGAGCAGCTAAAGAACAGGAGAGTCCCTCAGCCTTTGTGCACTGCATCCAGATGAAGAGCAGATCAATAGGAGATGATTAATTACACACTCAGCTATTATAACAACAAT